TATCTCTCTATCTGCAATTATCTCTCCGCTTTATTTGCCGGGCTTATATACTAAAATAGAGGGCGCCTAAAAAAGACTAGAGTTGCCAGGAAAAGTCAAGATCCTTCGAGAATCTCATGACGTGTAACTAGCGTAACGTGACTTCCGTTGTCGTAACAGTATCAATAAGAGTGATTCTGTTGAAATTAAATGCGTATGATACTTCAAAACATAAAATCCTTAAAACATAAGATAAAATGCAAACAAAAGTATGTTTTTTGTTAGTTTTTTAATACCGTAATTACGGTTTGTGAGGCATTTTCCTCTAGCCAGATACATTTGATTGGCTGCTAGAATGCCGAATATAATAATCCCAAATCGGCTGTGACGGCTGCTCTTCTATAAAAACTTCCCTTCGTTCACACACCACTTTGACATTCAATATGTTGCTGCATGGCATCACCTTCCCAATAGGCTAAAAATAATATAAGGAGGAAAATGATTCTATCAAGAAAATTTACGCACGATCTGAAATAAACGTACCTAAATAAATATATCAAATCAACTCTAACCTACCCGTTGAAAAGGGAGTTGTCACCTTTAGAAGAGCATGTCTCTAAGAGATTCAAAATTATTTACTGGTACCAAGAAGATGAAGACATTTACCATGCACAGACATACTACATACCTACATACCTACTAGAATACTTATTACTAATAATGCTCATTACATGTGATGTTTGAGACAGACCTGATACCGATGTACAAGTAACAAAATCGCTCTTGTGTGATTTTGGGAAATCAGATATTGACAAAAATATAAATCACTGAATAAAATATAGTACAGAAAGTACGAATAAGAAAAATATAAGTAATATACTGTTACGCCTCCAGTCGTTAGTTAATTTTCCGTAAATTCGTTCCGACGAAACTTTAGCGACACAAGTCCTTTCTTAAATAAAACTGGTTTATTCTTTCTGAATATAACTTTACGATACACTTAATTTCAACAGTCGCTCTATAACAAACGCTATAATTCTCAAGGAACGTCTCACATGGCCAACAATATTCTGTCTGCATACATTCAATTACTCATTACACTGTTGTCCTGTCACGTTGTGACCGTCTTATATATACAAGACTAACACATGTCTAGTAAATGCTAGGGCATTCATGAAGGAAC